CATTGTGCTGCTTTGCGTATACTGATGGTCAACCTTGACACGATAACATGCAGACAGGAGATTCGATAACTTTTATTTCACGATTAACTTTTTTTGTGCTTTTCTATCTGTGACGTGTTTGATCCATACTGTTTGACAGCAATGGTGCCATTCCAGCCTTGTGTCAGCCGATCGTCTCCCTCTGTATTTCAACAGCAGCGTGGGATTTGAAACTTGCAGGGTCACCACTCCCGCGTTGGAGCCCCGATGATGTGGGAGTTGTAAGGCACTCGTGTTCTACCCTGAGATCGTCCCTTCAGTGCCAAATCGCGAAGCTCCTTAGTCGGTCTCCTCCTCCGTACCCACGGCCAGGGTGGACACCGGGAGGGTAAACCCCTCGTCTAAGTCTGAGTCCGGACCCGTGTCTGACATGCAGCGGCGGTTGAGTTGCTGTCTGCACGGGCTTCAGGGGGGCCGAGTGGCTTGTCGTGGGGAGAGTGCGGGAAGGGTCGGCCAGATGGGGGCTTGATGCTTCTCTTCACTGCGGCGGGCGGTGCAGTGCTGCTGCTGTCAGGAGGGGGAGGGGCGGGCCAGGAAGGGGCTGGCCCGGAAGGGGCTGGCCAGGGTCGTGTAAAGAACGGAGGCGTGGACGATGCCTCGTCTGTGGTGCTCGTGGACGATGTCTCGTCTGTGGTGCTCGTGGACGATGTCTCGTCTGCAGTGCTGCTGCTGCTGCTGCTAAAGGTAGGGTATGGAAAGGGTTTCCCATCAAACCACCACCACCTAGGCGTGGACGATGTCTCGTCTGCAGTGCTGCTGCTGCTGCTGCTATCGAACCACGGAGGCGTAGTGCTGTCCCTTCCTGCAATGGACGGTGTCTCGACTGCAGTGCTGGTCGTGGTTGGAGAGCAGATGCCCAATCCGTAGCACCACACATCGGCGCTCTTCTCGGTTTCGTGAGGGAGAGACGCCGTTGTAGTGTTGGTCTCGGCAAACGGCGGCCGCGGCTTGCCAAAGAAAGGAGGCCTGCCATGGAAAGGAGGGTGGCGCGTCTTGGTGGTAGTAGTGCTGTTGGTGGTGGACTGGTGGGGGACCACGATGGTGGAGAACGTGGTTCCGTTGGACTGAGAAGTGAGAGTTGTGGTGATTGTCTCGGTGACGGTAATGTTGTGAGGGACAGGTAAGAATGGACGAGGGGGGAAAAGGGGGAAAGGGGGGAAAGGGGCGAAATGGGGGTTGCGGAATTTGTCGCTCGGGACGGTCTGCGTTTCCTTGGGGGGATCAACGGAGAAATCACCTGAAGGAAGGCTGGTGACCTGACCAACGGCCAAGGCACTGCTGATAAGAACAAGTATGGCCTTCATTTTGAAGATGTGTTATGGATGTCTTCGACGGTTAGGTGTATCGTCGTTTGGTTCCACGGATGGATTAGTTTGGGGTGGGAAGAAATTGAAAAGAGAGAAAGGGACAGCAAAGCAGATAGGAGACAAGGTCAGGATATAAATACGCATGTCATTAAGAGCGCATCGTATTCCAAGCTGAGATGCGTTCAAAAATACGCTCATCAACTAGTATAGCATTCGCACCTATAAACACCCTAAATAAATTTCGCTCCTAGCCCTATCAGTATTTCGTGGCCACGTTTACTTATTCACGAACGTGTAGGGTTTCACATCCTCATATTCTTACGTCGACCATCCATCTAATGACTACCGAAAATTAGTCGTTCGCGGCTAAGACGCTCCCAAGATTTGTTGTTATTGGCCCAACGGATGTGTCTCATGCCTCATTTTGTAAAAGCGCTCGCCAGGCTAGATTCACATGTTGCACCGATATTTGCCTGCACTGGGTGGCTTATAGGACGATGGGAGCGAGAGGAAAAGCTAATATCAAACTATGAGCAATGTTTTCTGGAACAAGTTAACCTAACATCCTGAGATTCTGCTTAAAGCCTTGCCCGTCAACAAGCCGTGATTGCACGTGGCTGACGGGTGAAATATTCGTCACTCTTTACGTATGAACTAGCCCACACACGATCGAGTCGAGTCGGTGAACTTAATTCGGCAAGCGTGAGTTGCCGTAAACGAGAGCAATCTTTGTTTGCATAAGCATATCGTGCCAGTTACGGAGATCATGTTGCTGGTTCCTTAAACCTTAACTCATGGACAGTTGAGCATATTTACCAACTAGTATGACATGTGAGTTGTGGAGACAATCATATGAATACAATAGCGTTTGCGCACACTTCCAATTCAAAATTCATTACGTGAGCTGTTTATACGTTGCCTAATGGTATTATACGGGCCTAATGCTGAGTGTCATTTGAACTCGATGCGCTTGCAGACTGTTCGGAGTGCCGTGCCACTATCTTTAACTCCACCGGACGCTGGACTTCATCGAGAGTTGCTGCAGTGCTTGGAGGGATTCCGTTCCGAGAAGCCTGCTGAGATATTCCCGTCTCAATGTCTCGTCGCTTTGCCTGCTTTGGGCGGTAAAAGAACCAGTACCACACGAGGAGGATGAAGACAGCAGGTAATATTCCGCCGACAACAGCAGCGATAACTATTGCAGATTACCTCTGTTAGTCACTGCGTCGAACAATAAATGGAAGTATGACGACTAAGCTTCTTACCCGTCGTATAGCTCACTATGGCGTCAGTGTTGACTGGATGAGCATAATTTCCATCTGGGTGGGCCCCCGGTGTCTCGTTATCGCCAGTCGCCGAATTACCGCTGTTTTCTCGGCGAAACCCGGCATCGGGAATTGTCCCTTGGCTGGTCTGCCAAACCGAAAGTGGCTGTCTAGGTTGCGATGGGGCTGTTGATGGCCGGTGGTGTTCTTGAGCTCCAAGTCTCCTTATATCTGCTCCGTCCGGTCTGACGTTCACAATCATATGAGCGAAAGCACTTAGAGCCGCCACCGAGGATGCAATAAATGTGGAGTAGCGCATGGTACACAATGAGGCCTCTTGTATCGGATTAATAGATAGGTTATGGTTGGGCGACTGTTGGAACTACCTAGACAGTTATTAGGCTTGCAATTTCAACGAAGAGTTTCAAGTAGTATGGCATCAGCTGTGTTTTAGATTTGGATCAAGTCCAGAGGCAATGGAAAACATGCTACGAGTCGAACCCCATGTTGTGAGATAAGGAACCTCCCACGTCGCAGTGCACGAATAGGGCAACTGACAGAATTCCAAATCTGACTAGTGATGCGACCTACTGCAAGTCAACGGCAGATGTCCCCATAAATATTTGTGAGATAGACAGGTAGTTGATCTGCAAGCGACGGATATTGCATGAACAACTACAATTCCTCGGAGCATCATTCTTCCAGGGAAAGCCAATGCGCTGCTGGAACTACTTGATGGCTGTCGGATGTTCAACCATCGTGAAGCAATCAAGATACTCGGAGGGGACGACGAAAAATACGATGGCCAATTGTGGCACACAGGTGGTGTTCAGCATCAACTATCTCAACGTGAATATGTATCTGGAATAACAGATACGGTAGTAGACCCATGTGTCCGCAACACGGCGTCGCGGCAACGTAAATGGATGTTGTATTCGGATCTAGTGCTGGAGGTTCTCCGAGAATGGCCAAGTCTTTGAGCAACGACAACACCATTGTTTGGAGCTTCTCCTCCTTCACCTTGCAGCATCATCATGAGCATCATTCCCGAAATTTAATTAGAGGCATTGGAGTCTGCGCCTGCTCCTCACTGAGCTGAGGCCCGATGAGCAGCTGAGTTGCGCCGAGAGAATAGCATCGCGCAGAACTCCATGTAGCAGTCTCAAAGTTCGTTACCTTACTGAAAGATCCTGAGCCTCCAGTTTCACGCTAATTTTGCCCCTCTGAGAGCGGCAACCTAGTAGGATTCGACAGCATACTCTCGCTCTCGTCACCTTCTGCTACTGCAAAAGCAAATATTCTGCTCTTATCGTCACGTCCGGGTAGAAAGAAGTTGAGCTTGTACCCAGCGGATTAAACACATATTGTTCGTGTCAAAAGTTACTCTCGCTCGAAGACCTCGCTTGTAGGAACTGGCTCAATCATTTACCACACCGTAATACCACCCGTGGGCTGGCGCCAATATATGGGGATATGAATTACCATCTAGGGTAGCCACTATGCGTAAAGTATATGCCAAATCGATCTTTCAGTTACGTCAATCCGAATGTATTGCCAGTAGCCTATCTTACTGATTCAACGAATCGTAATCCGAGGCGCAAAGCCTTTGTCTATCCGAGACTCCACGCTCTTAAAGAACCTCTCTTTGTACATAATTAACAGCCTTCTCTGCCTTTATATGCTTTAAGTCATCAGCAACCGGACGATGGAAAGGCTTGATGGTTAGCTTTATATTACAATTATGCACGTTTAATATGAATTATAAAATTCCATAAAAATAAAATATTAACAGTGATTAGATTTAGTATTTCTATATCTACTTTAATGTTAAAACCAGTCCCTAGCGACACCTATGCTCAGCCTTAACGCTAAAACAAATACAGGGCGAATTAATAAGATCTCATCCTGGTAAATGTACCATGTATGCAGTGGAATCTAAAATTCTGACCATTGTTTTACTCCTTACCGTTAATATGGCAGCAGATTAAAACAATAAGTGCGTGACCTTTACAGCTGACTAAAAGTTTAAAAAAACGGACAGCAGCTGAGTAAGATTATTAACTCTAGCATATACTACGTAGTACATAATGGAATGTATAACCTGCAAGAGGTCGATATTGCAGGCTGGACCAGCTATAGGACAAAAGGACAAGGATTAACACCCATAAAGTAAAATCTAATAACAAGAAAATGCAAAAGCCCTACCACATCCCGTCTGAACAAGTAAACACAGCTTGCTAACCTTAATGCACAGTGTTAATCACAAGAAACCCCCCCTTGAGCACATACCGCATTCAATATGCCTAGTCCGTGCCCCACCTCCCATCCAATCCTTACCTCAAGTACCTCAATATCACACCTCGCCATCAACATCCAACCAAGCAACTCAGCCGGGGTAGTCTAATGGCAGGCAACACCCGTTCAGTTTCCCCAGACGAGAACAATCTGCGCAAAGTGGACGGCGTGTACTCCGGGTTCGATTCCCGGTCCCGGCATAACTGATACAATATCTCACACTTTCTTTTTCCCCTTTCACTCCATAACAAGGTATGGATGGTGTAAAGCACACCAGTGTTCATATACTGATAAAGTGCCGCCAATACCAACCACCAAGCCCCGGTGATCTAATGGCCAAGATAGCGCATCGGTTTCCTTCCCCAACTACGTACTAGTTGGGGAATGAGGCTGAGCCGTGAATCCGGGTTCAAGTCCCGGTCGGGGTCTCTTTCTCCTTTTTCCCCTGTGTTTTCTCAACTTCACTTTATTTTGCTACACGATTATTCACGTGCTGTCCTTTATTCCACTTTCACTACCTCAAATTGACCTTTAAATCCCATACAGTCACCACATTAAGACACCCACACAAGTAGATAGTAGTATTCATTCGCAATCAACTCCTGATAAACTGATCTACGCCCGAGCATACCGCCATAACCCGGACCAGCCTAATGCCTGTCATCATATCCATGTCCCGGTAAAGAAACCTATGTAGGTATGATGCTTCATACCCATACAAATCGTACAGCCTCACCGAGTAGATAAAGTATAAGGGAGTGTGACTCATCACGTAAGACGCAACCTCACTCCTCTTCCTCTTCGTCCTCATCATCCTCGTCATCCTGAGGATCCCCATGGGCATGAATCTCATCATGCATCACCTCGTCGTCTTCTCCAAGCCCTTGTCCCCCTTCTTCACCATCTCCCTCGTCCTCCTCTTCCTCTTCCTCTTCTTCATCCTCCTCCTCTGTCCCACTACTCTCCTCTTTCGTAGTAGGCCTCCTCATCAAATTTGGAAACATAAACTGCGACACCTCCTCATCATCCAGCAGATCTTCGGGAGGCACATCACTAAGATCACTCTCGTCGTCGGCCTCGTCGTGTATACTCCCCCTGATGCTCTCTGCCTCGCTCTCGGCCCCTTCCCCTTCCCCTGCTTCCCTCATCTCCGTATCTCCCTCGTGTTCACCATCTCCGTCGCCACCCTCATCAGCAGCAGGCGTCTTGTCAGCACTAGAGACGGACTTCCCACGCGACAAAGCTTTGGCAGGCCCCTCCATGGCCCGGAGCACCGCCTGCTCTGCCTTGCGCAGCACGTCCGCGCGGCGGATCCCTGCCTTTCTAGGCCGTGGGGCCCCGTCATGGTTGGTAGCCGGTGTGACGTCTCCGCCAACGCCTTCTGTACCAGAGTTATCGTTGCTCTGCGGGTTGAGTAGAGCGCTGAAGGGGTTGAGAAGCTTGTCCTTGTCGCCCTTTTTCTCACCCTCTTGCTGTCGTTGTGTTTCCCGCTCCGCCAGCATTTCCTCGATGTTAGGACAAAGCTGATGTCCCAGCTGAAGGTAGAGTGCCGTATAGCAGTCGCTGATCAAGTCATCGATAGGTCCCGCTTTCATCAGTCCTCCGTTCAACTTCTTAACCTCACTGAGTTCCTTCAGTGCGTTGAGCGCCGCGCTCACAGACTCGGGGTTAGCAGCCCAATCACTAATCTTGCTTGTGACGATGTCGAACTCCTCCTGAGTGACGCTCTTGAACTCATCTTCCTCGACGTGTCTCACCGCGAACGCCTGCCTAATCAAGCCCAGGTACGCTACGATGGATGTCTGCCATAGATCACTAAAGTGATAGTAATCGGCGCCTTTCTTGCGAAGCCTGCGCAACATCAGCTCAAAGTTCGCTCTATCTTTCAGCTCCACAAGAAGCGACACGACAAATCGCACGTAGAGCTCGGTGTAGACATGATGTCGGCCAGGTCGTTCGGCATCGCATTTCCATACGTTCATGACCATGGTTTTGGTCAGCATCGACTCCTTGAGTACAGTAAATGCGGCCATGGCTTTAACATATCCGAACACCTCCGATTCCTCATTATATAGGATCCGAGCGTGCCGCATGATAATGCGATGCTGCCAGTTCGACCTGTCTTTCTCGCGAAGCTGCGTAAGGGTGTCGATGACATACTCGTCCCAGGCTTCGAGGTCCGGCACGTCGGCGTTGCCATCGATGGCGTAGGGCTGACGAGCTAGGATGTCAGCGCCTTCTTGGGGCTGAAGGTCAGTGAGCATAACGAGTTTATGGATGACGGAAACGATCTTGTAATGCGGCTCGAGAATAGGATCCTGGCCGTGTCTGGGTTTTGGCAAGGCGGCTACTACCTCCACTGACCGTTCCAGCGCTTTGATCACTGTTTCTACTGAGGGTCGACTTTGCCGATCCTTGTGATCCAGCTCATGGATTGGCTTGCAATACATTTTCCAGATGCATTTTGCATACATGTAGGGGTTCCTAGGACACAGTCAGCCACACATCCTTTATTTACTCATAGCAAGATAGACCCCATCCCAATATTTGATAGTACTCACTTCCACTCCTTGGGCTTGACTTCCATGGCTTTCTTAAACAGCCCTGAAGCATACTTCCATACTTTGTAATCCTGCATCTGAGAGTGGATGTCATTAGTATCAGCACCTGTGTCCTTTATGACGAAGCGCTTATGGTCCGTATGCATGAAAGGCTCCATCGCGAATGGCTCGCGGCTGGAAGCATACATGCGCATACCAAACTTGTGGTACAGGTCGTGTATAGCATCTGTTGCCTCCTCACTGTCGTCAAAAAAGGCTGTCCGAGAGTGGGACAGTGCCAAGGTGTAGCAGTGTATCGCGTTGCGTTGGTACTTGACCAGTTCTGCCCGCTCCTTGTTCATCTTATCAGCAGTCCATAGGACTGCTTCGTCAAGCTCGTAATCGAAGCACTCGGCAAGTCGAAACCACGCATCCCATTGGTCGGGTGTGAACTGGAGTTGTTGGCGGAGGAAAGTAGCACCGATACGAAGGTCGTCAGTAGCGCCTGGTGTTTGTCTCCTATTGAGGTCGACTCCCTTGAATTTCGTGAACGCGATCATACCGAGAAGGAAGAACCATCGATGCTTTGCCAGATTGCTATCTGTAGTATGCACACCGACGGCATCGATAGCAATGTTGCCCTTGAAGGCTTCATATAGACGAAGCGGATGGATTGGTTTCGACATGGTCTGATTGAAGATGCGTAGGTTTTGTATGAGTTGTTGGTTGGATTTCGTTTGTCCTATGGCCTGTTGCATATGCTCAATTGTTGTCTTCAGGTCTGACTTCAAAAGGTCTTTCATGGGCATGCGATTGGCTAGGACCGCGATCCTTGGGACCAGAGATATGGTGTTTTTCCGTTCGAGTTTCTCTGGTGGGCATCCGTGATCCTGTACCTCGAAAAGTCCGACTCCGATCTTGAGGCCGTAGAGGTCGAACAATACTTGACCCAGATAATCTTCCCAATTGTCGATTACTGAATGAACTCTCATCAGCTCCACCCGCATCATCTTGATGAAGATCTTGTTAGACGACTTGCAAAACTTTCGCAGTCCTAGCACTTGATGGACGGCATTCAGATAGTCGACTCGGTCGCTCTCGGCGTTACTAAAGAGAGCCTTATTTTGGGCCATGCCAGCTTTGAGCAGACAGTAAAGCAGAGACCAGTTTCTGACTTGCATCTCGCGAAGTTTGTGGAGGAAAGATTGGAATGTTGCTCCATTTGATGCTTGCAGCAGGATCCCAGCCCGCACTTCGTCTTCATACATGGATGGCACATGTAGGATGCAACTCAACTTTGCCAACGCGGCAATACTCGACTTGATATGGTCGTTATCAACAATGTCAAATGCACTGTGGTCGTTCAGAGCTGCCGTTAGTGCCGAAATGAGTAAATCGTCGAGAAACTTCAACATCTTAATGAATAAAGGTAATCGCGTCTCATCGGGGGCGCTCAGATAGGGGTCACGCTCAAAGTCATTCACCACAAGTTCGATGCTTTTCAGCCAGCACGAAAACTGTTTTGTCTTATATGAGATGACGTCGTAGGCATCGCCGAGGCGAGTCCAGAGGAACAGGCGCAATTCGGTGCTCGTGCCAAGCAGAAATTTCCACAGATCACGAAGCCCAGGGCTCGCGGTCTCGGAAATGGGTACCTTCTTCGTTGCCACCTTCTTGGGGTGTTCATCTGGGGTGCCGTCACTGCTGATCTGCTCTTCGTCGGCCTGCTCGACGACCGTGACAACAGATGCAGGGTTGAGTACCGGCTCCAAACTGTCAATGACAGCAATAGGGTCTTTGAGGTCAGTCTGGAAGAGTCCCAAGAAGAAGTCCATTGTTGTTAGCTTGGATATCTCCGTCTCTGCAGCTCGGGTCGACACCTCGGGCATCACTGCGTTGTTGGGTAGTATGATGTCCACGGGTTCTTCATCCTCGGTCAATCGGTCTCGCAGACTTTTCCAGCACTGGAGGATGTGATCCCTTTCTGCGCCTTCTGTAATAGTCACGGTAAACACTGCAGACCACAAAAATCGCATCGACAACGAGTTATCTCCGAACTGGGCTCTCTGGCGGCTCATTTGTGCCGCTAGAGAGAACCAGCGCGCCAGTCTCGTCTTCGTTTCGATACGGATAGTGACGTCCACAGCACTGTTAGGGTTAGTGATCCGCTCGTAGATGTCTAAATGCAATTCGAATAGCATTTGTATGAGCTGTTCTATAGCATTCCGTCTATTTTCTGAGTCCTGGGAATGAGTGGAGTGCGAAAGCTCGTACTGTGTGCGGCAGTAGATGTCTTCGTCGAGATGGCTGATGACTTGTACAACCGCCCTTTTCATGGTCTCGGACCATTTGCTTTCGGTATAGCTGACACACATATGCTGAGTCCATTGGTAAATGATTTCGCGAAGTTCTGTCCAGCCCTCATTGACCCCTTTTACAAAATAAGCTAAACCTCTGGTTTCGTTGAAGGCAGGCCGGGAGGTATGAGTTTGGGAGCCGGGCTTGGAATGCTCAAGGAAAGACGACAGGCCAATAGGCGATGGAGCTTTTTTAGTCAAGAGGATTTTGGCATTGTCGTCGGCGTATTTGATGAGCGAGTTGCGCAAGTCAACCATGGGTGGCCGGGTCAATTTGGAGATGCGGGTTTCCAAGAAACACGC